AAAAAAAAAGAAGAAGAAGAAGAAGAAGAAGAAGAAGAAGAAGAAAAAGTAAAATTACCTCTTGTGATGCTTAAGAGCATTGCACAGCATTCGGCAACATGCAGCATATAGCTCTACGGAAAACATTTGATCTACAGTTCGATTGCAAGTTTTTGTCAAAGGTGCAGCTTTAACAGGAGCTTCAGATACCTGAAGTTGGAGAAAGTATTGAAAGAGTGATCCAGGTACGCGCAAGGACTGTGCAATTTGAAATGCATCCATTTGGAAGAGAGTGGGTTTTCCGGAGATTCTTGTGAGTACTTCAATAGACATGAGAATAACCGAACCGGAATCAGGTTTTTTATAAGCTTCGATTGAATCAGGGGGTACGTAGAAAATACACGGACCCTGCAAATGCAAGATGACATTGAAAAGACATGCAACTAGGCTCTCAATGTGTCTTTTGACCATATTTAGGCGTTTTGGCCCTGCAAAACAAAACAAAACACACAGAAACTGAGAAAAACATCTATCCAATTGGAAAATTGTTCACTTTGTGAACTTTTGTTCTGCCAAAGAATAGATATGGAATGGTTTGGTAATTGGATACAAATGAAAATGCGAAGAAAGTTGTGTGATGCCCAAAATGGTAAGAGGATAAGATATGATCGGTACTTGGAAATATGAGAAGGTGAATATTGAAATTTGTGGGCAAGTGTGACGATAATTTCTTCTTTATTATAAAGTGCCCGATCATGATTCGTAAGAAAAAAAAAAAAAGTAAGAATGAGCAAATAGTTACATGTTGAGATTTCGAGTGGAAAATCACTTTCAGGAGTAAAAAAGTTTCTCTGGTGAAGTGAAAATGAAATGAGAAGTAATCTATGCAGAACCTTAATGATATGAAGATCACAATAAAAAATGAGAGAATGATTTACCTGTCACAAATTCAAGAATCAAATCCAATACATCAATACCAGCAGCAACAACAGAGGAGACCTCTGCTTCATCTGAAACTCCACAAACAATTTCGTAATTACTCATCAGTCCTTCCTGTACACCAACTAAAGCTCTCTCGACAGCCTGAATAGAAGATAGCAAGTGCAACTCAGATGATCTCTTGATGTATGATATGAATGAAATCCTCAATTTCCCCTTTAATTGGCCCAATCGTCTCATTCCCAGTGAAAAACAAGATTGATTGTGGGTTTTCAGCTTCTTGGCACGCGACCCTATCTCTTGGGATACTAACTTTGCGTCTTTACCTTGTAACGAGATGCACTTTCCAATGACCTTCAAGTGCAAGCCTATCAGGCTCTCGTAAAAATCTCTGGACAATGAAGGATCAAATTGTTGGAAATAACTACCTAACTCTTCGATAAATTTCACAGTGCCGTCTAACCAAAAATAAGTAAACTGATTAGGCATTTCACTTCTTGAGAACTCCATGAGGAGAAATTGAGAAATGTCTAACATAGTGGGAAAAAGGGTCCAAGATACCTTAAGGTCAATCTGCAAATTCAGTCTCAGAATAGCTGAACAAGCAATAAACAGCTGCCTGAGAAAGAAACCCGCCTCAGCATTTTCACCTCTGAAAACTTGCATCAACAAAGGCTTTTTCGGACAGAGTTTCCACTTTTCAACCTCGGTCAGAAAAGCTTCAAGGTCTGGGAAGGATGGACACAATTTCTTCTTAAGATGACCTCTTTTACGTTCATTTTTACTATCCGAAGGTACCATTTTCTCAGATGGGAACTCATTTGCTGACTGGTACGCAAATGGGTCATCCTCAAGAAACAAAGATATTATGAAGAACATCGTGAAATTCAAGAATGTATCTACACACGATTTAATTACGCCCATCAGCTCAGCATTGTAACTTGAAAATTTTGTTTTGAAATTACTATTGTCTGCTTTCGTGTCAGTTACTGATGAAATTAGACCCCACAACAGTCCCTGAAAACAAGCAAGTATGGACGATAACTTTCTCAAATCCCGAAATCCAGCTAACTGTTCTTCTTTCTTGTCAATAGGCATATCTCTGATCATGGCAAGGGCTTCTTGCAGGTGCTGCTTTAATGCCTCAGCTAAGAACAAGACACTTCTCCATACATCTTCTTCGGTATTTAATTGAACTTTGCCCTCAGATAAACCAGACTCCTCGGTGTAACAATTTAAGAGTTGTCTCTCCTCAAATTGACCTCTACTTACTGTTGTCAATAGATTTGTCGTGTGATCCAACAATGAAAAAGTTTCAACTTTAGCTTGAATAGCAATATCTTCTGGAAATTCACCTTTCGAACCAATTACTGCCAACAGTGATTTTAGAAGCCATGGTAGAGGAAATGATTTTAGGAGCTGACTACTTGAGCTCGTATTTTCTTTGTTAGCTGCTACAGCTAATGTCCGAAGAACTCGTCGACAGGTCACAAACAGTTGAAAGATCTGATGAGGGCTATGAGAAGACGATTCACTTTTACAGCCTAATAAGCTACCCACCAGGAGCCTGAAATGCAGAGGCGCGTACTAGCAAGATAAGTGTGGGGTAGTAAAATGAAAAATAAATAAATAACCGAGGGAACATTCACAGTTATTGAAGAAAGCAAAATGTTGATTTGTTTTAAGAAAATTAAGTACATCAGTCTAGATAACTATTCTGTTCTCCTTCATGCTACATAAGCTTAAAAATACAAGTAGAAAATTACTTTCAACAGTATACCTTTCAAGGTTGAGAATGTAAGTGATATACATTGATGACGACTTCAGAGTAAAATATTCTTCTGGCATCCACAATAGAAGAGAAAGTAACCGTTCACATGTAGTAAACTCAGCATTAATATTCTTAACACAAGATTCATCAACCTCGACAGTTGGTTTTGTACATGATAAAGCTCCAATTTGCGTGTGTGGAGAACTGTCAAATGCTGATATAACCTCAACCCAATTAGGTGACTCGCTCAAATTGACTCCAGACGCATCAAATATTGATGACACTAACTTCTGGAGAATCTTACAGAACCTTGATGACATATACCTGCGAACGAACTGAGATAGAAGTCAGTGAAAACATGAAGTACACGGATGGCATACTGAAAACCACGAACGGGGAAAAAGAAAAGACTGCAAGATAGTAAAGTAATTGACAGATTGTACATATTTAGGTGTGTTTGTTTATAAATTATTTCAACTCATATTCAATTCATACTCAAAATCTAACTCAACTTTAACTCAACCCCACTATTCTCAATATATCAATATAATTAAATAATACCAAACAATCACTTCTGCATATCATATCAACTTCACATCATCTCTGTCGTACTTTTCCATCAAATCAATTATAATTATTTTATTTTAAATATCAATTTATTATTAACTCAAAATCCCACTAACAACTAACCATACCAACTTTTTCAAAATTAACCCTAAACAAAAAAAAAAAAAAAAACTCGTTTGTAGCGGATATATTTGTATACAAGCACGCCCTTATCAATTGAGACCACAAGCACAAGAAGGAATGAAACAAGACGGAGCAGGATAATAAAATAATGTTAAGTCACCTGTTGTTCAAATGATATGGTGTTGCTAAGAAAGTCCAGTGCAGTCTGATGTACAGTGACCTTCTCCAGAGGCTTGCTCATTTTAAGCATTCCAAAGTGGCAATCATCATGATCTTGCCCAGAGTAGATAGAGATACGGATCACAAGTGTGAGAAAATTCTTTAAGTCCTTCTTGGCAGCATGTGAGCACCAAATATCAACATTCTGGCAAATGACCCACCACAATGCAGATGCCAGCGATTTTTCATCTAAAGATCCTGTAGCAAAACTCAATGCATCACTTTTGTGCAGGTCTTGGATAAGAGTGTAGTCTATTACACTATTATCATCCGAGGGACTCGATAATTTATCCTGAACAATGGATGAAAAAAATCCCATCATGCATGTCACGAGAGATTCAGCCTCGTTTCTCATTCTCACGACACACTTTCTCCACTTCTTGTTTCTCTTGTAATATGAAGACAAATCAGCATCTTCTTCGCGTGCTTGATTCCATTGAAGCATGTACTCAGAAGACTTAATCAGCCTATTTAAGTCGACAAGTCTCTGAAGAGAAATGGCATTTAATACATACACCAAGGGTGAGCAAAGCACAACGGAACCCTGTATACAAATATCTGAAACAGAGTAAATAACTTCAAGAAGAGTTGATGAAGGTTGAGGCATCCATGAGAAAAAGCCTTTGTCAGCCGATCCTTTCATATTCAACCAGTCTCTCCCAGAGTGAGGGGTAAATGAATCACCTAAATCTTTAGACATTTTTTTGGATGCATTAGGAGGCATAAGGCCGATTGCCTGCCGAAATAAGCTTCTGCAGGATAAAACTAGACGGAATAAGACCATTAAAACCCAGCAAATCGACTCATTGTCAAATCCCCCGAGCCTGTTCGAATTCCTTCCATTTACTGAATCAGATAATTCTTTGGAACTATCAGGCTTCAATGAAATCAGGCTACTGCTCAAACTGGGGCTTATAACTTCTAATAAATTCTTCAAAGAAACAGCAACTAGATAACTGTTACCAGAAGTTACTGTTATTGAGTCCAGAATGATTACGTATGCTTCACACAACACCTTACCCAGGATTTCTGCTCGCAAATGATTCTGCTGTGAGTAACAACTATGTTGATTTGCCTTTTCAGTTGTATCAACATCTGCAAGCTGAAGCTCAGATTTCATCCATTCAAGAGATTCGATTATATCTGAGCTCAACTGGCAAATGCATGCAGATGCTTGACCTTCAGGTATAGCATTAATAGCACTGCTGAGTGACAGCCTAAAATCTAAAGAGCAGAAAAGCATGCTCAATGAACCTGAATAAAATGAGCATGAGCTCGATGGAGCGTATGCTTCACCATCTTTAATGCATGATAGGGAATGCCTTACTGCTCTAAGGAGTGCAAATATGGAAGAATCCACCTACACAGTTCAATTTAAAATATTTAGATAGCTAAAATATTATAATGAGTTCCGAAGAAGAGATAAAAAATAAAATCAAGCAAGGAGATCTGAGATCCATATTTTACTATCTTCTACGTTTAGGCTAATCCATAATCGTTTATGACAAAGAATTAGTATCAGTGCCACAGAGAAATAGGCTGGATCCATAAATATCAAAAACTAAATGGTAAGATGATTTTCTAAAGAGGTACAAGGGAAATGGCTAGTCACTATTATACAAATAAACAATCATGAAAATATGTAAAATAATCCAGCCTTCATGATATAAAGAGAAGCATTGAAAATGTCCCTATTTCCCTGAGAAATGTGCAGTGCTATGTTTGTTTATTGAAGATAACAAAAACTAGGCACTTCCTCACATACGCCTGGCCATGAAGACTAAAAAAAAAAAAAAACTGTGACATAAATGCACAGAGATATTTATTATGCTCTAACCTGACGAAGTTCGCTGTAAAGATCAATTAACCTGCAACCAAGTCTCAGTATCTCTGAGGAAAGCAATGGCTGACCAAGCACATCCGTTAAACTATAGCAGCAGGACATAGAGGAGAATACCATAGACCATAAGTTCTCCAGGTCATCTCCAATAACCTCATATTCAATATTCAACAAATGATGAACAGCAACAATAATCTCCTTTCTAACAGAAACCAATAGTTCTCTGTACGAATTTCCATCCGAGTCGGGAGATGATGATTGTTTATGGGAAATTTTGGCAGCGAATGCCATGAGGGTAGAATAGGCAGACCTCAAAAAATTTCGGGAAGCCCCTTCTGAGGTATCATCTGTTCTTAGATATAACTTATCACAAATGCAGCTATCAAGTAAGTTATTAATGGATCTCAGTGTAACAGAAGCATTAAGTAACACGGATACTTCTCCATCAGCTCGAGGACTTTTATCAAGATCTACTAGTAGATATTGCAAATTTTGTACGAAATAATCAAATATAGAATTTCTCAATTCTGCATCCATGCTATGGCATACAGGAGCCTTTTCTGAATTCACAACTCTGACATGGGAAATATGACCCAATTGGCTGGAACTTCCTCCACTGACTAAAGCTCCTTTATGCCTTGTAGCACAAGTAACAAACAAGTGAAGCAACTCTCCTAGACCAACTAAAGCCAAACCATTCTTCTTATCAACTACCTTCTCTAGTTTATCAAACAGATGCCTATGATAACTTTTATTAACAAACTTTTCATCCTTCACAGCTGCATCAGAATAATTTTTGTATCTTGCAGTACTCTGTAAACTTAGAAACCCATCAACATGAGTTGGGTGGAACAGCCCCTGAGCTAAAACTTCCTCCACTAACTTCGATAACTTTGTTATCCATCCACCTTTAACGGCACAAGCGCTAGAATGCAGCACATGCAACAAGTGCAGTAGGGGCTCAAGAAGCTTATCGATGAAATTTTGAAAACCAGTTTTACGAGTTGGATGGACCCTCAAAAACATTGCAAATGGATCGAACAAATAACACGACAATTGCATGACGAAATTCCCGACCTCTGTTTCCAGCTTGTCTGTAACGATATTCAAGACGAGTTCGAGCACCTTATCTAAGAGCAAGATCCACAAATCCAAATTTTCATTGGCAACTCCTCCATGGAATGAGAAGACCAACGAGATACAATCAAGAACGATATCATAAAGCTGTATCCGGTTAGGACACACGGGCATGACATTTACAGAATGTAAGGCATCAACTGCAATAGAATGAATCACCCGTAAGAAGTCCTTAGAACATGTCAAAGGTACGCCAAAGTTTTTTGACTCCTCCAAGCAGAAATGTAAAATCTTCCAGCATCTGTAGTCCAAAAATGATCCAGAAGTTTCGAAACCAGGATCGTTTTCTTCAAGCCTCACTTTCTTTGATGAAGAAATGAGAACCGATTGAACCCATTTGTTGACAAAAACTGTTGTCCTTGAAGTGTCCATTACCTGCAAGCACTGACCAATATCATCCAAAGCTTTTGTGCTGCTTGAATTCACATAATCAAACGCCAAATCGACCTTCCTGCATTAGATCTCCCTTTTCCATCAAATGTGTTTCAAAACCCAAAGGATTAAAATTTTGTTTATCAAACAATATATTAACAGAACAAATATGAATTCACGAAAACGGCAAAATAACCATTATATCTTTTCAACTAAACGTCTTAAAGGCAATATTAGCAAACCCATAGCAGGAAAAGAAAACTAATTATTAATGTGGTGTCATATTCATTTTTCATAGAACATACAAACTCAAACACTTACTACAAAACTAATCATGTTGCTTAAATAAGTTGTCCCACCAATTATTCTACAACTCCTCGGCATAGAAAAAAAAGTTGCATGACTCGAAAATTACAACCATTCTAGCTCAAATTGAAATGCTATTCATGCTAGTATGGAACAGGTCCTCATTATAAGAATTTAAAATGGCTGCACTTCACTACAAAACTCAGGCTCTTTAATCATTTACTTGTATTTCATTAAAAGCAACAATGAAACCAAATAATAAAAGCAGTTACTCAACTCCCGACTCAATTCGTGATAAATATATGAAAAATAGCAGATAACCAACGAATGAAAACAGGCCCGCTTCAAACAAAAGCTTACTTCAGAAGGCTGGTGTCCTTTTCCTGTAATAGAAAAATCAACTCCAAATTCTTCCATGGCAGACCTTTGTCGCTCTCTAGATCCAAACGAGGAGCTTTGGAGCACTGTCCGGCTTCTTCAATGGTACCTGAGCTCCTTTGCTTTCGTTTCTTTCTACCTGGGATTGTCTGTCGGCGCGGCTTGTTTTGCGGCCGGTCAATTAAAGTGCCCGCCTCCATTAAGAAGCTCCCGAATTCGGTGTGGAGTTCGAGCAATATGGTTTTGTTATGCTGCAGTGTAGATGAAACGACCCTCGTATGGCGGCGAAACTGCAAAATACAATCGTGAAGTGGGAATGAGGGAAAATAAAATATTGAAAAAAAATGGATTGCCTAAATAATTTAATTAAGTAGGCTATTTTGATTTTTGAATCATACTATTACATAAGATATTTTTGTTTTTTTATTTTTTTTTTTTTTTNGTAGATTTTATTTTTATGGCGAATTTTTATGGGCAAGGACATATAGATGATGAGTGGATCAACTATTTGGAAATTTATGAGAACTGAAAGTTGCTTCCTTTCATACGATTTTGGCAAGGAATTATTTAAAAAAACATAGATTTCTATATACACTGTTAATCAACATGTGCATTGGCACAGAGACGAATACTTTAAAAACATAAAAATATAAAAAAATAAAAATAAATCATAATTTAATTCATGAAAAAAATATGAATTAAAAAAATAATTCTCAAAATTGATTTTGATCAAGTAATTGCTATAGAAGAGCCGTTACAACCATTTTCTTTATGCTAATACACTCGGTCATTTTCATGAGTGGGCGTGACTTAAAATTTGAGTACAATTTTGTAACTCCCTTAATTGGTTTATTCTCATAATTTATGGCATTCAAACAAGTTATTTTGTAACTTAAAAATAAAATTGAATGCTGAAAATTTTGGAGGGAGAATAAAATTTAATGCATGAGACCTTTGTTGCTCCTCTTTATATATATATAGATATAGATTTATGTAAGACAAAAAAAATGTAAAACCACAAATAAATAAAATAACGCTCTCTCTCCTCTCATTCCGTAACAAAAACTGGACCACTATTCTATAGTGGAGAAAGTAGCCACACTATATTCAATATTTTTCTTCTTTTTTTTTTCTCTATCTCTCTCTCTTTCGTGCAAAATAGTTGGAGAAAAATATTATGTGGACTTGGGAGGGTTTTATGCTACTTAAAAAGATGAACTTTTTTTTCTATCTCCATGGATCTACTTTTTACAGTTGTAGTAATTCAATATAGGGTTACATGATTACTCCATTCCTATAAATACAAGATATAAAATTTTGTTGGTCTTTGATTGCATAAATTTATCTAGTTTATTTTCAGTTTATCTGAATTGATTTTTCTACCATAAATTTATATTTAGATTAATTTTTATTTATTACAGTTTTTATAAACCATTACATGAATACTTTTTTCAATTTATTATAGGTTTATAAAACATTGCAATAATACAAATTGTATATTTAAGTTTATGTATAGTTTATTTTCAGTTTATTATACCAGAAAACTGAATATATTTTCAGTTTATTTTTAGTTTATTATACAATAAATTCTTATACAAAATAAATTGAATATATACTACNAAATTTACTCTCAAATCGTTTAAAAACAAACTCCACATAAAAATCGTTCAAAATATAAATATATCACATACTAAAAAAAAAAACTCAACATTGAATCTTCTTAGTTTACATCAATATATGCATAAACATACTAAAAATATAATCCGGTGGTGGGATTGCAGTACGCCCAACAAGCATCGCAATCCAGCGGTTTGTGTATTGGGTTTCGAGCTGTTACCGTCACCAATTTTCCGTAATAAACTCATTGGCAAGAATTACCATTCATGTGCAAAAAATTTCAAAGTCATTGTTTCAAAAATCAAAGGAAAATTAAGCAAAATTTCAAACAAAATCCAGCAACTCACTCACAGATCTGAGATTCAAATGGCAATTAAATGAGACCCCCAACCAAAAAGGCAAATCAAAATTAATGAAACCCTAAATCAGTAATTGGATAATTTGCTACACCTTTTCGACTACACGCCCTGCGCCTTGAAGGGTTATATTCCGAGCCTCAAGGCGGCAGACGGCGGGAGGAAGGAGACGAAAAGGGAGAGGATCTCGAATAGTCGGAGTCGGAGATCCCCTGCTGGCGGTGCGTGGGGTAGCCGAAGGAGGGAGAGGATGCACATCACATTCCAAGGAAGGAGGGAGATGATGTGATGCGCCGATCACTGTTCTTAAAAAATATTCAAGTGGAATTAGAGGAAAATAAATCCCGTTCCATGGTAAAGAAAAATTCAAACTTGATATTAATTTTTCTTTATCGTAAATAGGGAAGAAAACTTATATGACGTCGTCCAGCAAGTAATTTTCTCAGTTTTTATGTATATCACGTGATTTTGAAAAAATTATAATTTTATAATGGGCCAAATTTTATTTGCATCTTTATCAATTTCATGTTAATTAATTATAAATATACAACAAATTATGAGATTTTCAGTTACCAAATTAAGTGTAATCGTTCTCCTATATTATAGGATTTTCAGTTACCAAATAAAATGTAACCGTACAGCTAGGTCGTGAACAGCCAACCATCATACTGTAAAAATTGGATAGTCTCCCATTTAACTTGCACAGATCGTGAGTTTTCGATTCTCATGTTTTTTGAATAGACAGTATATATTGCGTTTATAATTAGTATATATTCAGTATATAACCTGATTGTTATTCACATAGCATTTTTGTCTAACCACAAATTATGATGGTTGAATTTTGGTTCAGCATATTGCATTTATAGATAATACACTCAATATATGTAGCATTTTTTATTTACATAGCATTTTTATCTGACATCTATTCATCAATTGTGATATTTGAATTTCAATTGTCAATTGTTTTGAATGAGCATTATATATTGCGTTTATAGTCTATATATTCACCATTGAAATAGTGCCGACGGAAACGTATACTGACAATATATTGTATATAAACATCAGACTATGAATAACATATCAAAACACGAATCATCAGTACCATTGAATTCGCAAATCGCCTGAACATAATAAAATCTCATCAACAAAAATAAAATGAAAAAAAAAAATCCCCAAATCGCTGCCCTAAAACTCAAAAAACCTCACAAATTCTCTGTCAATGGCCGCACTCAGCCTCCGCAAGAGCAACACCCGCCTCCCGCCGGTGAAAAAATATTTGTGAAAAAATGTAATAATATAGTTAAACTTAAAATATGTTTTTATGTTTATCTTGACCAAAATAATATCAACATGAATCATAGAAAATCAATTTTGTAGTTTATTATAATGAATATCAATGAGATTATTACAAATGTTAATAAATTAAGGAAATAATCTCTTTTATTATATTTGATTTGATCTGATTTGGAAACATGTATATGCAAACAACTAATGCGTATATTTAAAACATTTCCAAATAATGCATGCATTAAATGCTCCTAAATTTATTGGCTACTATACTTAGTAAATGCTTATTATTTTTATATATATTAGTACATAGCCCATGTGATGCACCGGGTGCGATGCACAGAACACATATATTAAATGAGTTATTTTCATACGACTTGTCCGTTTAGCCACCAAAAATAATAGGGTCGAATCATTCATTTTCAAAATCTTTTAATTAGTTATGTTTATTTTAGCTCGAACATTAACATGTTAATTAATATATTACTCCGTTAACACGTTATACTAATATAAATTTGGTTTTAGAATATATATTTATTCACTAATATAGTAAAAAAATAACAGTATTACTTATTTTTGTTCACCATATAATAATTAATTATTGTTTTATTATAAATTTTATTTTCATATAATTTCAGTTTTATTATTTATAAAATTTATAGAAGTAGTCTAATTCTTCTCCTTAATTTATGTAATTAAAAATATTTAATGTACGTAAATATTACTTATTAATGTAGTTAATTTAAATTTATGTAGATACATTTAAAATAAATATTTTGTATAATTTTTTACAAAATACACACACCTGTTTTTTAGATTTAATTTTCTCATAACAAATAAAAAAAATTGATTTAGCAATTGCCGAAAAATAAATTCCTTATATAATCAAGATATTTTTCTAATTTGCATCATACGACTTTATCCTTTCTTTATATCCAATGTAAATATATTTTACAATAAATTCATTATGGAAATAAATCAATATAAAAAAATGATAAAAGAGATTATCATGGTTGGTAATAATTACAAATAAATCACATGTTAAAATTTTAAATATAGATAGTATATTTTAATTTTATTATCTAATTATTAGTAAAATTATTTAACGCATCTGATCATTATCTCTTAAATGGTAATTATTTTTAATTTAAATTATTACTTATTTCTTATATAATTAAATAAAATATAAAAATATTATTGTCAAATATTAATTTACCAACTTGATTTCACCTAATTAGTTGGAATGAGAAAATTACTTAACATGTTACGATTGTTTATAAATATTTTAGGATGAAAGTTAATATTTGTGAAAAATAAAATAATAATATGGTTAAAACTTAAAATCTGTTTTCATGTTTATGTTGATCAAAATATTATCACTATGAATCACGTAAAATCAATTGTAGCTTAATATAATGGATATCAATAAAATTATTGCAGATGAATAAAATTATTTAAGGAAATAATCTTTTTGATCATATCTGATTTGAAAACGTGTATATGAAAGCAATTAATGCATATATTTTAAAAACTTTTCAAATAAAGTATGTATTAAGTGTTCCATAATTTCTTTGCTACAATTTTTAGTAAATGATTATTCTCTTCATATATATAGATATAAATATAGATATGGTGTAAATTAGGTTGAAGATATATTTGCTCTATTTTTTCAAATAATATAGATCTCGGAAGATCTATATTCTATATATATTGAAAGAGGTTAATGAAATAACTTAAAATAGTAACTTTGACTCTGTAATTAAATAGGTTGACTTACTATTGAAGAAAATATAGTAAAAATTACTTTAATATTTATAAAAAATAAAAAATAAATTATACCTACCTATTGTAAATTATGCAGTTCCACGAATCGCATGACTTTTTATATAAATAAAGTGGTATCAATTTTGAAAATTGTTTTGTGATAACTATCGCTATAATAATTTGATTCTTCCTATTAATTACGAATTAGTGCAATTTATTTATTTTTGGTAACCAACCATACAACATGTCTTCAAAAATGTGTTTATTAAATAGGTTTTGTTATTAGAAAA